GGTCCCTGCAGGACTGGCAGAGAGAAAGAATAGGGTTCTACTTGAGCTTTCCCCATCAGCACCCTGACTTCAGCCCCTTAGGGAAAATGCCTTGTCTCTTGTGTGCACAGCGCCACAGCATCAGCTAAGGAAAACGGGTCTGTATGCATGGCAACAGTCTCAACCTGTGTGTGATGCAGCCGGGCTTGGAACACCCGCTTCTGAACTAAAGAAACAGGCCCCCTCTGAGGCTGGTATGAGCATATGGGGGTGCCTGGCACGGGCCTGGCACAAAGAGGACAGGAGGGGACATGAGGTTTTCCACCCACACCCATCCTGAGTCACAGGTACCAACACCAGTATCCTCCGTACCCGGCTCTGGGCGTGTCAGTCTCTGGAAAGCGCAAGACAGCATAACTGACACCGTCATCCATCACGGGGTTGTGGCAACCCTGGGGTTGGGGGTCTTCTGAGAGAGGGGTCCTTCGAGCCTGGAGGGTGCAAAGTTGCAGCTGTGACTCCCCTGACCATTCCTTTCTCCTGGCCTTTGACCCCAACAACTCCCTGGAGGGTTTTGGTTTGTTTGCTTTGTTTTTTGTTTTTCCAACAGGCATTTACAATGTGTAACCCACATTGTAAGCTGGCCTCAAATTCGCCATTCCCCTGACTTATCTTTTCCATCACTGAGACTGCAGATGCCCACGTATCCTCAGTGTATTTATACCCTTTTCTTGCCTCCTGTCTTCAAGGGCTACTCTGGGTTCATCTTCCCCCCATCTATTTTTTTTTTTTTTTTGAGATGTTTCTTTGTGTGGTCCTGGCTGTTCTGGAACTCGCTCTGTAGACCAGGCTGGCCTCAAACTCACAGAGATCTACCTGCCTCTGCCTTCCCAGTGCTGGTATTAAAGGCGTGCACTGTCGCTGCCACCACCATCACTGGGCTCCATCTTACCTTTTTATTCCTTATGAAAAAGCTCTGGCCACTGGAATTTTCCTGAAGCCCCTGCTGGCTCTGATTATATTTCCACCTAAGGATCAAGAGAGTGTGAGCGTGGGTGGGGATGACCCAGCAGGCTGAGGGCTGTGGGGAGGGGGCAGGAGGAGGGTCAGGAGCCAGCTCACTTTTTCTGGAATTTCATCCCCCAGAAAGCCAGGATGCA